TGGAAGTTTTTTTTATCAAAATTTTTAAAAGTTTAGAGATTTTATATTTATTTATAAATAAAGGAGGTAATTTTTATTTTAGTTACATTATAAGTAAGAAGAACAAATACACAATCCTTTAATTATTTTTTTTAGATATATATTTATTAGAAATTATATGACTGAATTTTCATTTTTTAAAATATCAAAATTTCATCATAATTAAAAATATCTTTAGAATTATAATTTTTTAAAGTTTAATAAAGACCTTTTCATATTATATTAAAATCTTGAAGTAGTACACTTACAGCTTCATTATATATATTATATTATTTTAATTATGCTATTTCTTAAAATTGTTAACTTATCTATTAGAATCTTTAAATTATTTTCTTTAAGTTAAAATGCAAACTTCAAGGTCTTAATTAAAAGAATATGAGGCCTTTGCAATAGAAAGGGAGGAAACTCCAAAAAAATTAAAATTTTAGTTTATAAGCCAAAAATGTTTCAAATACTATAATTTGTTCAGATTTATTATTAACTCATTTTTTATTTTTTTTGAGTTTTCTCCCTTTCTATTGCAAAGGTCCCATATTATTAGTTATAATAAGACTAACTTAGATGATATTTTCTATTTAAATAGTTATTGCTTTTTTAATATTAGAAAAAGATTTTTTTTACATTTTAAATTAGCTTGATATAAATTAAGAACTATAGCAAACCAATAGTCTTTTATTTTTAAAATATCACAAATCATTTTTTTACTAATATCAAACTAAGTAGCTAAGTCTTTATTTTTTTAAGAAAAACGAAGATAATTTTTTTAAATAAAATTCTTTTTTTTACTACAGTAAGGGATTTACATTTTCTAGAAACATCAGGTAAACTTAAAGTTGATTTTGTTTTTAGCATTTTAAAAAAATTATGTAATAAAAAAAATAAAATGGAATACTTGATATTTTTTTAAAAAATATGTAATATATCACTATTATATTCATCCTTATACACTTCTATTTCAATATTATCTTTTTTTTATAAGCAAATATTTTACTTAGAAATTGAAACTAGTTGAAATAGATGAATTTAACTTTAGCTGAAATTTAATTTTTGACTAGAATTAAGAATTTATAATAGCAAAAATGTTATTTAACTCTAATGAAATTTATAGTACTAATTTAAGTTAATTTTAATCAGTTAATTAATAGGTTAACAAATCTTTTAATTAATTATTAATTGATTAAAGAATTATTGATTAGTTTTAACTTCTAATTTCATTTAATATATTACTATATCTAATAATAAATTAGTTAAATTTATTATTTAATTTAAATACTTCTTCAATATTTTCAGTTAAGTCATCCTCATTAGCATATTATAAATTAAACTTTTAAAACAATATAGAACTGTTAAGATTTAATATTATTAAAATATTTTAACTTTATATTTCTAGTTATATAAAATATTATTAAAGCTTTTGTCAAAATGACACTTTTATGCTATTATTTTAAACTTATATTTTTATGATATTTATTTTGTAAAAGACATTTTATTATGTAATTTCAGTATTAGTTTTAACTTAAAATTTTCAATTATAACTAAATTTGGTTTAGCATTATAATTTTAGCTAGAGTTAAAGGAAGTTTGACTAGAATTATAATTTAAAGATTTAGCATTTTTTATTAAAATAATACTGTATTAATTATTTATATTATAATATACCAGTAGTAATAATTATTTTATAGTATTAATATTATTATTTCTATCAAATAAGTTAATTATTATTTAAAGTTAAGGAAATATTAGCTATAATTTTAATTTAATCAACTTGATATGATATTAGTTAAGAAATTCATTTAGTTAATAAAAATAAAAATTATATATTTTTTATTTGTAAAATATTATTATTATTTATTATCATTATAAAATATATTAAATACAATGTTGAAATCTATCTCTTTTCTCATGCTTTTTATATTTAAAATTACAATTAAAGAAGATTAATGATAATAATTATAATTAAGATACTATTGATAATAATAATAATTATAATAATATGAAATAAATAATAATAATAATAAAAAATAATATAAATAATAAATATATTCTATTCAGCAAATATGTTAGTTTTAATAGTTTTGTCAATTTTTACCAATTTTAATAGAAAATTATAAATATTAATAATTTTCACAGTGTAGCTATAAAAGTCATAATATTATAAAAATTCTTGAAATAAATTTTTTTATTCTTTAAAGACTAATATTTGTAATTAAAAAAGTTTATTTAACTAGTATTCATTATAATTTACTAATAAAAGCATATAAAAGTTTATTTTATTTTTATTATTAAATCATAATTTTATTTTTTATTTATACCTCCTATTTTCTTTATTCATACTTTATAAAACAGTTAAAATAATTAAAAATGCCTTGATAACATGTTAATAAAAGATAATAAAATACTTTAAACCTGTTTTTATTAATGCAAATGCTCTTAAAATTTCAGTTTCTACTTTATTTCAAGATAAAACTGAAAATCAACTTGAAATTGGATTGTATAATTTAAAGAATTTTGTAAAAAATATAATTATGTTATATCACTTAAAAATATTATAGATTTAAACTAATGAAATGATATATATTGTATAAATATTAAAAAAGAAAAAATTCTGATGATATAAAGTAAGACAGTAAAATAAGCAGTTGATGTTATTAATCATTATTTATTAAAATTTTTATCAATTTATAAAATTAATTTACATAATAATTATGATTTTTCAGATTTATAAATTGTATTTAATAGAAAAATGAAATATTTGTAAGAAAAAGGATTTGATGAAAAAGAAAGATTTATGATTAATAGTATAACAAGTTTAGGAAATTTTAACTGATAAGTTTCTTAATTTAAATATTCCTAAAGATCTTTTATACTATGTATTTTTTTAAAATGCAACTTACATATTGAGATAAAGAACATTATGATTTTCATATTAATCAATTTCTATTTCAATTTAATAGTAGTTTAAAGGTGATTCCCTCAAATTCAGAAACAATTACTGATATTAATAAATATCTTTAAAATGTCTTAATAATGCTTTTGAAAATTTTATTTACAAATTAATTTATTTTGGTATAAAAGTAATATTTAATATAAAAACACATTATAGTATTAATAAAGTAGAAAACTTTATAAAAGATATTGAAAAATCTGTTAAATTAGATCTTCTACCTGGTTTTTTAACAAATAATACTGATCAAAAAACTGCTGCTCAAATTTTTTAGGATGCTAATGTGTTAGAAGATGCTATAATGGAAATAACAGATCATAAAAATGTTTAAGGTATTTGTGTATATAAAAAAGTAAATGAAAAGCAACATCTTGCTGCTATGAATATCTTAATAATGCAATAGAACCATCAAGATCTTCAAGTCATAATACAAATATTTCATTAAATACAAATGATACTACATTAGCTTAATTTTCTTCTGATATATTCAAAAAAAATTTTCTATCTTTAATAATTGTCATTTTAATAATGTAACTTTTAAACTTTAAATATATAGATCTTTATTTTTATATTTGTAGCTTAATTAATAATTAATATCTCAGTAGATATTTTCATGATTATTAAAGTATCACTATAAAAAAATGATAAACTAACTTGTTCAGTTTAATTGCATGTTAAAATCATTTATAGATACGCAGAAGCCGAAAAAACAAAATTGTCTATATCTAAATAAAAATTCAAAATAAATAAAAGCATGAATCTCGACTGGCGAATCAAACTTGAGAGTGAGAGTGATAAAGAGAAGAGAGATAATGAGGAGAGAGAAGAGAAAGAGAGTGAAGAGAGAGTGGAGAGAGAGAAAAAGTGAAAGAGATGAGATGGGAGAGAAAGAAAGAGAGAGAGTGTGTGAAGAGTGAGAGGAGAAAGGTGAGAGTGGGAAATTTTCAACATCTATTACACAACAATTGATTCATTAAATTTTATAAAATAACAAACTACGCAAATGAAAATATTACCAAAAAGACCTGTAACCAGCTTATGATCCTAAGGGATGTCTTGGGATTATTAGTTGCTAAAAAAGGGATTTGGAAATGTGACACAGCAAAGCAAGATAGCAGGGTTTATTATTTAGGAGTAAAAAAAAATATTTGAAGGATTGTCTTCGCAATTCAAGGAATTGCATAAAATATTTATACGAATATACAACACCGCTTGATAATAATCCCTTTGTCGAATCTTTATTTTGAAAATTAGCATTTTAAAAACAATAATCCAAATAACTAGAAAAGATGAAAGTATATAAGACGTTTTTTCTTCATTTTTAATTTTTAAAGAAAAAGTTAACATGCAATTCAGAATTGAGAAAATTTCCGTTTAAATTTATTGCCTTACAACTTTGATTTAATAATAAAATTATTACTAAATAAAGATTGCTTTTTGTAATAAAATGACAAAAACGCGAGTCGAATTCCCCTCAATTGTTGATCTAAAATAACTGTTTGTGTAACTTCGTCACATTATTGCTTTTGCATATATAGCATACAAACGCACTGAAATGTTTTTGGGGGAAAATTAATTTACTGTTGTATTATGGTAAGTACCTTAAGAAATTTATTAAAAATATTTATATTTTTATATATATATATTTATATATTACTAGATATATTGCTTGAAAACTTTGAGAATATTTGATTTTGAAGTATTAATCTATATGATAGAAGAAATTAGTTATTAAATAAATAAAGGTATGTTTCGGTGTTAAATTTAGTTTGTTCCGATCAATGTCGCATTAATTCCGATTTACATATCGATTTAAGTTTCCGAATAGAAACTCCGACTACGGTTTAGTTGATGATGTAATGATTTAACTTATTACTACTTTTTTACTTTTTACTTTGTAATATAGGAGGCTTGAATAGATGATTAAAAGCCTTTTTTTTTTATCTTTATTTTTATATTTTTAATTGGGAACGTTGTAGTCATTTAATTCATTTTAATTTTTTAATTTAGAAATTGAATGGATTCTTCAGCTATCGATAATTCCCCAAATTCTCAATCAAATAACGATCCCAATCTTTTGGTTGAAAGTGGTGGAGAACAATCTACTAAGAATAATTATTCTGAAAATCATGAATCAACAGTCAGTTTCAATAAGCTATTTGACCCAAATATTTTTGGGAATTGGATAAGTGGGACAGGAAGTAACGATCATTTGAATTCAAATATACCTAAACCTGTAGTAGATAATAATAGTTTAAAGAAAGGTCTTGATTCAATAAGATTATCAAAACAATCGGACTTTTCAATAATTTTAGAACAAGATGAAGAATTGGACAAATCTTTTGAGAATGTATTGGTATGTTTCTCATCCTTAATAGGTTGTTTATAAATATCTTAAATGTTATGGATAATTAATTAATTAAATTTTAGGATGAGATGAATATTCATGGGTTACCACGTAATAAAATGTTGCAAATGTCAGAAGATCATAAGAAGATATTGATATTTCAATTTAAACATAATAAAGCTCTTGAAAAATCAGAGCAAAAGGACAATATGGATAAACCAATACGGAAACAAAAAGGAATAGAACCTATGAAACAGGTTCTAAAAAATCACAATGATAATAGTGATGAAGCAAGATCACCGCGAAAGATTATGCGCGATTCATTTACAAGTACAATTGGGAGTGATGTGGATTCGAATAAAAGTCCGTCATTAAATAAACCTTTAATGACATCCTTGCTTAATTCAGATCGGGATTCTTTAGAGCAATCTTCAACTGATGTGCAAGAAGAAATACCTCAATCCCCATTAATAAGTTCGGGGGGATTTTTTAGTTCATGGTTTGGATTATCATCATCTACCAAAGTTCAAAAAACTCCAAACTATTATGTAGATAAATTGTCGCAAAAGAATGTTTCACCAAAATCATTAGCAGAAAGGTTACAATCATTGCGTTTAACGTTAACTACGGCAAAATTATCGTGGATAAAGAGTTTTATTGATGACAATGGATTGGCAGCATTGGAATGTGTTCTTGAAAGATATACGGCAGGAACAAGGAGAATTATTCTAAGAAATTCCGATCATGATGATAGAATTTATTCAGAATGTGTCCGTTGTTTAAGAGTTCTTCTCAACACAGAGGTTTATTATCTTAAATTTTTTTTTATATATATATATACATTATATGAATTCTCTATTCTGATAATTTTTTATTATTTTCGATTAGTCTGGATTTAATCAAGTATTAAATTCCACATCATTGATACATAGTATAGTATTTTGTCTTCATACACAAGATAATAAACTGAGATCACAAGTAGCGGACGTCTTAGCTGCTATATGTGTAATATCTCTAAAAGGTCATGAATTAGTATTATCAGCATTTTCAGATTTTAGACAAATTTATGAAGAAAAATTTAGATTTCAATATTTAATTGAAACTTTAAGAGGAAAAAAAGAAGATAACAGCACTTTAATGGAACATAAGACCGCTTATTTAAGATTAATTAATGCCATCGTTAATTCACCTGAGGAAGTTGAAGAAAGAATGTTATTGAGGGATGAATTTTATAGGAGAGGGTTGTCAGAATTATTTGCCGTATGTGTATATAAGTTTGTCAGATTTAATTATATCGAATTAAAAATGTTTTGACAAAAATTTATCATTTTTGTTATTTAGATTTTTAAAACTTCTAATCCACCTGAATCACTATTAACGCAAATTCATTTGTATGAAGAAGAGAATCAAGATGATTTAGAAGAATTATATGAAAAAGTTCATGATATTGTAAGAGATGCAGAGTATGTTATTTGAATCCTTTCCTTGCTTTTGAATCTTTTAAGTTATTATGATCTCTGATATCATTACAATTTTATTTATAGTGATCCATTATCTGTAGTTATTGAACTTGTAAAACAAGTTGAATATGATTATGGTTTGTATTCAAGAATTATTGAAACTCTAAAAAATTTCTTAAGAATTGCTTGTAAGGATTTAGAAGAGTAAGTATTTAAATTTTGGATTATTCGTATTTACCAAGAACCAATGATATTTAATAATTAATTATATTTTGTAGTGATGATCAGAATGATATTTTGAATATTATGGAATTATTTATTGAAAGAATAAGTCCAATAACAAATATTAAAGAAGGTATGTATATCTACCTTTATTATGATAGATAATTAAAAAGGTGATCTAAAAATCATTATGACCGGATGATTTATTTATTTTGATTATTAGAATGGCCGATCTTTATGAATGAATTTCACTATTCAATTGGTGATATAGTAGGACAATATTCTGTAATTAGTGGGAATATAACAAATGATCAAATTGATGAAATGAGAAGTCAATTAAATGAACTGAAATCCAAGGTTTGTATAATAAGCAAAATTATATATTTCAATTTAATATTTGAAAGTCGGTAAGTTATTTAAATTTTTTTTTTTTAGGTTGAAACTTTAACAAAAGAAAAAGATGACATATTAGAACAAATAGAATTGAATAAAACTTCAAATATATCTGTCTCGAATATATCAAATAATTTAACATCAAATGCAAAATCTAATAATGACGAACACGAACATCTTGTTAATAACTTGCGAGATAAAACTTTAATAAAAGATATACCTGACGAGAAAAATAGGTCTAAAATAAATTTGGATTCAATAAATGACGATGATAGTTCAGCATTGCCAACAATAATGGAATCTTTACCAACATCAACTATTCCGCCGCTATCTCCACCACTTCCTCCAAGTAATATGAACAATTCAATCAATTCAAATCCACCACCACCTCCACCACCGCCACCATTTCCTCCGAGTAATGTGATCGAATTAGTTCCACCACCACCACCATTACCATTTTCTTCAAGTAATGTGAGCGATTCAATTCCACCACCACCACCACCACCACCATTTCCTCCAAGTAATGTGAGCGATTCAATTCCACCACCTCCACCACCACCATTTCCTCCAAGTAATGTGAGCGATTCAGTTCCACCACCTCCACCGCCACCACCATTTCCTCCAAGTTATTTGGACAATACAGTTCCACCACCACCATTTCCTCCAAGTAATGTGAGCGATTCAGTTCCACCACCTCCACCTCCACCGCCACCACCATTTCCTCCAAGTTATTTGGACAATACAGTTCCACCACCACCACCACCATCATTTCCTCAAAGTAATGTGAGCAACTCAATTCCACCACCGCCACCTCCCCCTCCTCCTTCGCCCGGTATGGGAGCACCGCCACCACCACCTCCACCGCCCGGTATGGGAGCACCACCACCACCTCCTCCACCGCCCGGTATGGGAGCACCACCACCACCTCCTCCTCCACCTCCTCCACCACCCGGTATGGGAGCACCACCACCACCTCCTCCACCGCCCGGTATAGGAGTACCACCACCACCACTACCTTCTACAACATCAACATCGAAACCAATTCCTGTACCAATAATAACAACCCCCAAAATAGTTAGACCAAAAGTTCCATTAAAAGCATTATTTTGGAGTAAAATACCACCACATAAATTAAAATCAACAGTATGGGAAGAAATACCTCTTATAGTTACGAGAGAAATTCCGATAAATCACACAGAAATCGAATCATTATTTCCAAAAAATGCTATAAATAACTCATTAAAATCACCAACGTCACCAACTAGCACGAAAAAAAATACAGTAGTAACATTATTAGATTTTAATCGAGCTAATAACATTGGTATTATGTTAGCTAGAATAAAATATACTTATATTGAAATTAAAGGTGCTATATTGGAAATTGATGATGAGAAGTTATCTGTTGAAAATTTAAGAAGTCTAAAAAATTATGTACCTAGTAGTGAAGAGAAAGAATTAATTAAAGACTATGATAGTGATATTAATAATTTGGGAAATGCCGAAAAATATTTTAGGGAGGTTATGGAAATTCCTCGATTGGCTGAAAGATTGGGATGTATGATTTACAGAAGAAGGTTTGAAATGGAAGTTCAAGAGTTGACACCTGTAGGTATATGTTATAAATTTGTTTGATTATATATATATTTTTTTTTTAAAAAAAAATATATATATATATTTATTTAATATAGGAAATTGAATTGCTAAATGATGCATATATTGAATTAAAAGAATCCGAAAAATTTAAGAGGTTATTAAAGGTATGGCAAATGATTTTATTTATTTAAAGATTTTAATAATTGTTAATTTAAATCTCTTTATATTTGTAGACGATATTAACTATTGGTAATTTTATGAATCATTCTACGTTTAGAGGAAATGCTGCAGGATATAAGTTAGATGTTCTCTTAAAGGTATAACTCTTAATATATATATATATATTTTTAAAAAAATTTGCTTTTACTAATATTTTAATCCTTTATTTATTATTAGATCCGCGATACTAAAGCTGTAGAGAATCCAAAAGGAATAACAACATTATTGCATTATTTAGCAGCAACATTAGAAGAAACACAAAACGATCTTGTAACTTTTATGGATGATTTACCACATTTAGAAGCAGCAGCAAGAATATCTGTTGTAACTGTCATAGCTTCAGTAAATGAACTAAGTAATGGTATTGATTTAATTAAAGAAGAAATTAACGTTATGAAAAATCTTCCAATAAAACAAAATGATTATTTTATTAAAAATATGGAGGTAAAATATCATAAAGAATTTTTAATCTACTTTTGAATATGAAATTTATGGGTTTTTTTTTTCAATGTATATGTAGGAATTTGTGGAAAAAGCCGAACCTACAATCATAAATATACAAGATTCTACTCAAAAATTGGAAGAAGAATTAAAAGAATTATTAATTTGTTATGGTGAAGATCCAATCACTACGAAACCCGAAGAATTTTTTGGTATGATTGTGTCATTTGGTTCTTCTTTAATTGTAAGTATCATAATAGTTGTATTATATAATTATTATATATGTTTCTGACACAATAACTCTTTTATAGAAAGCGAATCAAGAAAATGAAGAAACCAAGAAGAAAGCCGAGAAAGAAAAACAATCGCGTTTGGTAATTACAAAATCTCAAATAACTCTAATTATAATTTCAGTTCTAATTTTCACAACAAATTACTCACCTTAAAATTTAACGCATAATAATAGACTTTACGTCGTCCTTCTGAAGTACCACCACCAAATTTAACTGCACTTGCAGCAAAAGGAGATTTAGATGAAACGATAAGAGAATTAAGAAATGGACTCAAACCAAATCGTTCACGTCCTGTATCAAAAGTTTTTTCAGAATTAAATATTAGTTCTTCAAGACCAGCTTCTAGAGTATTTAGTAATTCTTCACGGCCTCCTTCAAGAATATTCAGTAATACTTCAAGACCCTCTTCTAGAATATTCAGTAATACTTCAAGACCCCCTTCTAGAATATTCAGTAATACTTCAAGACCCCCTTCTAGAATATTCAGTAATTCAAGACCTTCTTCTAGAATATTTAGTAATACTCGTCCCACTTCAGGAATTTTCGTTAAATAACTCAAAACATTTATTTATTATAATATCTACTGTAATTATAAATTGTAATTTTAATATTTTTAATGCATTAATTATAATATCTTATGTAAAATATAATAATATTATAGTAATAAAGTTGATTATTGATAATTTAGTAAAGATTTATACTATTATTTTTTATTTGAAATAGGTTCAGTATTTATAATAATATTTTAGTTGAAATACTTTTAATAATTTTAGAAGTTATTTATATTTATTTTGTATTATTTTCTTAAGTATTTTTATTATATAATTTAGAATTTTTAGCATAATTACTTCTTTTTTTATTAGAGGTATTTATAAACAAATAATCATTATAAAGAGTTTAATTCATTTATTATCTAATCTAAATCACTAAATATAAAAAAAATAAATTTAATATTTTAATAAAAATATTTATCAAAATTATTTATGTATTAATATTTAGTGATTTAAATTAATAAAATTTTCATATATTATTTTTTGAGATTATTTTTAAAAATTTAATTTAATTTTAATTAGTATATTTCAAGAAATATAATGTTAAAAATCATATTTAAGACATTTTGCTAGATTTTATATATTAGTTAAAGATTAAAAAATACTTTAACTTAAATTCAAAAAAAATATTTAATTCTAAACTATCTAATTTTTAAAACCTATTTAGAATAATTTAAGAATTTTATAAAAAAAGTAATAATTATTAAATATAAGTTAAATACTTTTTGACATATTATATATTTAGCTTTAAAATATTATTATAACATAATTTTAAAGTTATTAATATTATTCTATAATAATATTAATATATCATAACTTTTAGCTTATTAAAATTGTATAATATGTAATAATTTATATTAAATTAATTTTAATAAAGATAAATATAAAAATAATATATTATAAAAATAAAAAAATTAAAAAAAAAGATTAATATTTGATTTAAAAATATGCAGATATTTTATGTTATTAATCACATGATCATAGATTAAATGAATTAACTTATTAATTAGATAATACTTTTATTACTAACTTTTTTAACCAAAATGGTTTATTATTAATTTAAACTGTAATATTTTTTATTAAAAATTTCTTTACTTTTTTTAGCTATTTTTTTTTATTTATCTTTTTTCTTATAAAATAAATATTAAATAATATCTAAACTAATACAATCAACTCTTAATATAACGAATTTTGATATAATAAATTTTATAATATAACAAAATTTTAATTTAATATAGATTTTATTATATTAAAAACTTTATTATAATGAATTACTAAATAATATTTAATAAAAAATTTTATAAATATATATATTAAATGACTTTTTTATAATAAATTTTATTTATTTTTATATTTATTTTATTTATTGTTTATATTAGTTCATACTTTGTGAAGCATTATTTAGATATATAGAATAAAAATAGATTTTTAGTTTATAAGATAATTTAAAATATAGAAAGTTTATATTATTTAAAGTTTTATTAATATTTATTTTATTTGTAATTTTGAAAGAGATATTATTAATATTTGTTTTTTTAAGTTCAAGATTTTTTGGGTTTATAATATTTTTATTATAATATTATTTACAAATATTAGAAATAAAAGACATTATTTTTAAAAGTTTTTATATATTATTTTTTATTTGAAATAGGTTTAGTATTATAATAATTTCTTAGTTTAAATACTTCTAATAATTTTAAAAGTTATTTGTATTGTTAACGTGCAATTCTTGCGAATTACGACAGTTAGACAGGGTGTTCGAGTGGTGAATCTTTTAAAGTTTACGTAGTAATCTAATAGTTGTCTCAGTAAGATAATGGTTCTTTTAT